GTGTGTGTGTGTGTGTGTGTAAAACTGGTCCTGTCACCGTTTCCGACTCTAAGCAATGAGGAGCAGAGGGCCAGCAGACGCGGGAGATTAGAGAGAATGCCTTAGAGGAAGGGGCACATGGCACACACATTACAGCCAGTTCCAGAAAGCTGCTATCACCCCTCTCTGGCTTGCATTTCCAAAGCACCAGGAATTATGGAAGCACTGCCTGAGTATCTCAGCACTGCTCAGCACCAATCCAAACTGGCTAACTTTAAGTTCCCCAAATGGGTTATGCACCCAATGCTTCAGCATTGGGCTTGGCCAAAAGGACACTGCAAAAGCTTAGAGCTGGATTTGTGAAAAGAGGAGAGGAAAGAGCTGAGCTGTCAGGGAAAGCTTAGCCACTGCTCAAACGGCACACGCAGGGTCTCCAGAGCTGAGGTCTCTCGAGAAGCAGCTGCTACGCACATGCAGCAGCCATCACCCACCTTGTAGCATTCGTATCTCTCATAGGAGGTGCCCCCGGGAGAGTCCGGGAAGATGTACGGCTGAGGATGCTGATTTTGCCAGAATTCCTCTTCCGCCTCCTGCAGCAGCTGTGTAGCCTTCATCATGTCCTTCTCATTCTTATGCTCTTCAAATCGGGCTCTCAGCAAACAAGCAAAGTACCGGTATTTTTCCCTTAAATCAAAACCGTTGTGGGCATCAGAGGAGTGACCTACCCGGTGGGTAGGTCAGCACTCCTACAAACACACCCTAGATGAGCAACCGTCTAGTCCCTCATCAACCTCCAAGGCACTGTGACTGCAACCTTCCAAACAGCGACAACTGACACAGCCTGGCCACTTCCTCTCTCCTCCACAGAACGAGGATTTGGATATGAAAGGGAGACAGAGGCAACAGCTTTAGCAGGTTTGTTCAATGCGCCTTCACTGACAACCACTACAGGTCCCACCTTGTGCTGGAGGCTGCGCCAAACCCTGGAGATGCACAGTCGACTAAGAAAGGAGGTGTGACCGGTGGAAACAGTTTTGCTCCAGTCATGTGGGTGGTCCTTAAATGAAGATTTTCACACTACTCACAAACCTGAGGTAAGTAACCGTCTGGTGTTGACGACACTGTGAGCAGAGAGCAGGAGCCTCTGACAACAGTTCAGGACACAGATGGCAAGGACCTAGAGCAGGGAGCTGTGACAGCAGACAGGACATAGGAAAACAAAACAAATACCCATCTAGACAACCAAGTCATGAGTGCGAGCCTCTCTACACCAGGGCTAGACTAGCTGTGTAGTCTCGGTAAGTTACTTAATGTATCTAAAGACCAACATAAAGATCCCGCGAGCTAAAGTACAAAAGCACTGTTCACAAAGCAGCTGTCATATTTCATGTGCTCAGTGATATAATAGGCATTACTAGGAGAAAATAATTTTCGAAAAGCAGTGTCTAGAAAGGCAGGATGCATGGAATGTGTGTTACTGGCAGAATACACAGGAAACTAGGGAATCTGGAGGACAGGTCTAAGACTACAGACTAGTAACTGAATTGCTAGTAATGCCGTTTGAGAATATAACCGGGACGAGGAAGTGATGAAACAATGTGGTTTTAAAGGATGTGGATAAACTCAGTTTAAAGAACAGTAGCTGACCTCACTGGAAACACAGCTAACTCGAGCACCAGCACTGAGGATACCCACAGGATACACAGCACCACAGAGCCTTAGGGTGGAACCAGAGAACAGCCTAGGAGGCAAACGAGGGCTGGGGAGATACGGCTCAGTGGGTGTAAGCACTGTGCAAGCATCAGGTCCTGACTATGGAGTCCTGGAACCCAAGTAAAGCTGGACATGGGAGCATCTACCAGTACTCCCAGTCCTCCTCCTCAAAGACAGGAGGTGACAGGAGACTTCCAGAAGGTTGTGGGCGGGCTGGTATGGCATACCCTGTCCCAAGCAGGGTGGAAGGTCAAGGACTGACTGACTGACACGAGGTTGTCCTCTGACTTTCACACATGTGACACCTACATTGGTTGTTTTCTAAAGGAAGCGATTCAGACGACTGAGAAAAGGCGTCCGGTTTAAAATACTTTGGGCCAGCGCTATACAAGCTAGTTTGATCATTCCCTTCATGACTATGAACCCTGGGATGTCCAGGTGTATTACAGCATCCCCTGGATTCCTGAGGGTTCTAGCTTCTCTTGAAGACTGGTAATTCCCCAATACTCCACAGGGGACTGCAGCTTAAAAAGGATTAACTGTCATTTACTTGCCAACCAGAATAGACGCTGAATTGCAAACGCTGTCCAACAAACAAGAAAACCTTTAGGAAAGACGCTGACAACTGTACAACACTGTACACAGCCCCCGCCTGAATAACAGAGACAGAGTCTCAAACTTGCATTCAGGGGGCACCCTCTGCAGGCCTTCCAGGGCTACCAAGTTTCCCATCATTTTCTTGGCAGTCCTTCATGGAAGATTAGGTTTTAGTGTAAGGGTGTGGAGGCCTAGCACTGACACAGCTTGGGTTGCTAGCCACCTGGCATTTCTTGTAGGCCATGAAACTCTACGTGTTGTAACACTATATTAATTGTTATTTTATCTGTAAAAAAAAAA